AGTTGTATGTAACCTCGGTAAGTATTTTTCATGGAGAACGAATGTCGGAATGCAGTAAGACGGATTCAATTACAGTTATCTGTACTCTAAATCATATGCAGTTATATTATTCTTAAGAACAAAATTTTCTTGACAAACGTTTTAAGACATGCGTGCTCATTCAAGTGTGTACTCTTCAGATTATCTTTACATCTCACATGTAAAGGCGCGTTTTATCTCAGAAAGTTGACATATCACTACTTTGTATTCTGGCTTTTTTTTAAATTGTTCAGGGTTTTTTTATGGTGTTAGCGACATCTTTTTGCCAGTATTTAAATTAGAGTACAAAATGAACACTAACATGTAATCCCTAAACACTGTTTTTATTACAAAACTATCCAATTTCGGTCGCATCTATACAAATAAAGATAGTTTGTAGGTCTAAGCCAGGAAAACATGGGGTTCCCAAAAGGGTTAAGTAAATGTCCGACGTTACGGTTAAGGATTTTGGTAACCGGTTCGTGGTCTTTCGCCTGAGTAACCGGATAACCGGCTAACCGTTGACAACCCTACATAATACATTTTCATGTACATACCATATATATAACATCGCTCAATATATAAATGTCGACCAATCAGAACCCGACCTAACACGGACATTTTGTCCAAAGAATCAACGCAGATCGCAGTAATTTTCGTAGTGACACTGCACACTTTTACATAGGGACATTGGACAATGCATACATTTCGATTTATGAAAAGCCAGTTTGCAGCAGCCATTTTGTGGGAGATATTGGCCTTTTTCCCATCTTCAAGAACACGATTAAAATATTCAATTAACCAACTTTTATTGTGGTCCATATATCTGAGCAGAAATTATATAGGGGACTATATAAATGTTGTATTTTATTATTATTGTTTAAAATTAAAACTGTTTTTCGCGCATTGATAAATTACATGTATTTGGAAGTGATGCGGCGCTGAAGGGTCTCGATTGTTTCCTCGGAAACGCTTATGTTTCCATCCACTGGAATATTACGTTATTTCCAGAAGCTTATATACTCGGAACATTTTAATTAAAGTGGTCCTTTCAGTAGGTGATAACGATTCCAAGGACATTTCGTTTGAAACAGATTCCATGTCTAATCGGTCAGATTAGCATCGCTAGCAGACGACGTTCACAGGGGCTCGGTTTCGTGACTTTGAGTAATGGATGACATCACTGAAGAGCCACAACACTTAAAAAGATTCTAAAAATTCTAAAACCTTGTCGATACCCTCGACTTTTACAAGTTTTTTTAAATGCTGAATTTTAGTGTAGTGGTTATTCACTGATGTTATGCATAACTCAAATCTCGAAATCGAGCCCTGGTGTGATGACGTTGACAAACTTTGTAATTTCGTATCTAGAATGGCGCTTACAATACTTTTGTGGTACCTACACATCTTATGATAAATTTATATTGTCATAATTTGTTAAGTTGTTTTTTATTGCGATGACCTACATTGCTGAATGCTAACGAACCCAGAAAGTTCTCTGACTATTGGCCTATTGATACCGAAAGTGTGTCTACCTAGGACACCTGGAGCTGTATTCACTGACCGAATCACTGTAAATTGCAGTATACAGTCTCATAAACTGAAATTTGGTTTACCAACAACATATAGGCAAATGCAACACAGAATGTAAATATAATTGTGTGAAAGTAATATACTTACATTCCGTGTACGTGATAAGGCCGATCAGGAAGACCAGTAGTAAGTAAGGGAACGAAGCCATGACACAGGTGGCCGCCTGCTACCTACAACTGAGCTCGGTAAACACCCCAGGCCTGGTTATACCACATACATTCCGTTCCAATGCACACGCGAGAGTATTAACCGGGTCAGAGCAGTGTGAAATGTGCTGTAAGATGTTTTCTAGAAGTGTGCATAAAATCTGCCTTCGAACCTGCTATCTGCTTACTGCTGAACAGTGGTAGTAGTGATATCAGTTATGTTGACTTACCTATGTGTTATCGATTGATAGCGCTGATGTTAAATTACCTTTGTGTTATCGGTTGATAGTGGTGCTGTTTACGTACCTATGTGTTATTGGTTGATGGTGGTGATTTTAACATACCTATGTATTATCGGTTGATGGCGGTGATATTAACTAACCTGTGTGTTATCAGTTGATAACGGCGATGTTTACTAACCTGTGTGTAATCGATTGATAGCGGTGATGTTTACTTACCTACGTGTTATCGGTTGATAGCGCTGATGTTAACTTACCTATGTGTAATCGGTTGATAGCGCTGATGTTAACTTACCTATGTGTTATCGGTTGATAGCGCTGATGTTAACTTACCTATGTGTAATCGATTGATAGCGGTGATTTTTACTTACCTATTTGTTATCGGTTGACAGCGGTGATGTTAACTAACCTGTGTGTTATCCATTGATAGCGGTGATGTTTACTTATCTGTGTGTTATTGATTGAAAGTGGTGATGTAAATTATCTGTGTGTTATTGATTGATAGTAGTGATGTTTACGTACATGTGTGTTATCGATTGATAGCGGTGATATTGACTTACCTTTGTGTTATCGGTTGATAGTGGTGATGTCAACTTACCTATGTGTAATCGGTTGATAGCGGTGATATTGACTAACATGTGTGTTATCGGTTGATAGTGGTGATGTTTACGTACATGTGTGTTATCGATTGATAGCGGTGATATTGACTAACCTTTGTGCTATTGATTGATAGTGGTGATGTTAACGTACCTGTGTGCTATTGATTGATAGCGGTGATATTGACTTACCTTTGTGTAATCGGTTGATATTGGTGATGTCAACTTACCTATGTGTAATCGGTTGATAGCGGTGATATTGACTAACCTGTGTGTTATCGGTTGATAGTGGTGATGTTTACGTACATGTGTGTTATCGATTGATAGCGGTGATATTGACTAACCTTTGTGCTATTGATTGATAGTGGTGATGTTAACGTACCTGTGTGCTATTGCTTGATAGTGGTGATATTCACTAACCTGTTTGTTATCGGTTGATAGTGGTGATGTTAACTAACTTGTTTGTCATCGGTTGATAGTGGTGATGTTAACTTACCTATGTGTTATCGGTTGATAGCGATAATATTGACTAATCTGTGTGGTATCGGTTGATAGTGGTTATGTTAACTTACCCATGTGGTATCGGTTGATAGTGGTGATGTTAACTTACCTATGTGTTATCGGTTGATAGCGATGATATT